GTTAGCCATGCCCTGACTTAGATCAGCCCAGAGGTTGTTTCAGGGTTTGATCTGTGAGTTAACCAAGACCTGACTTAGATCAGCCCAGAGGTTATTTCAGAGTATCGATAAAATAAGATAAAAAGTGTTTTTTATTTTAATTATTTCGTCTCAAAGGGATCTCAAAAATCACAAGACGGTGTTGCGCGCGAGTTAGGATCTTCAGTGGACAATAATTTGGCGATCTGCTATTTTTAGTGGTATCTAAATGGCCTGATACGATAGTGGCTATCTTGATAATGATAGCTTAGAACCGCGCATAAGCGACCGCCAAAGGGAGCCTTTGAAGTATAATATAAAGATAGCATGGTCGATAAAGACAGGTTGAAATTTAATGCACTATATCGGGAACCTCGAAAAATCGACCGTCTAATCAAACCATTCAAAATGATACTTTCGAATGTGATGCATCAGAAACCTCGAATAAGCGACCAAGCATGACGTTAACCTGGTCGTTAACCAGAGGTTCGAATCTTTACATCCAAGCACCCCAAGTCTTGAAATTCCATTAACGGTTAACAAACCTAGCGCTGCGACGATCTGACGGCAATTCAGACAAACATCGACATCGTAGTGAGTTCTAATTGCCTCAATTACTCGTTCTAATTCTACCGACAATGTTAATGTCTTCCAAATGTTCAAACGTTAATTCCCCTAGGCATGACCGCGGTCGTTGTATTTATGGTATTTATAGATAGCGATGGATAGCTACGTGTATTTCTTACCAGAATATTTAACCCATATTTTTGTCATTTCCCGAAGAAATTAGACTTAAAAGGGGAGGTATTACTTGTCTGCGGCTTTTGCGGTCGCTTCAATGATCTGTCTCTTTCTGAGCATGCTTGTAGATTCGCTCCTTGATTTGGACAGACAGACGGACGAGAGATAAATGCACTTAAGGAGTCTTAAAACGCACAAGAATTCAATAATACAAATTCGAACTCATTATTGCACTCTGCTCTTCTCGATGCCGCGATGAGTAAATAAAAAGTGTAAAAAAATATTACTATGAAATTCAGAACATTTTGTAAATTATCCAACTGGATCGACAGACAACAACGGTATTCTATATACATTCAACTTTCAATTATAAATAGAAATACAATTAACTAATATTCCAAAAGTCAATACATCTAGAATAGACTTTCGAATTCGTAGAATACCCGGAGTTAAATACCGCTATATGATTCCTTGACTACAAATCATTTAGGTAGGGTAAGTCTAGATTTTGAGCATAATCGTTTCATGTTTTCCAGTGAAGGTCCGTGGAATTTCAAAGTGTTTGTCAGTGTTGCATGAAGTCGTGCCGCATTCTTTACTTTACCGTTCTTTATTTGTGAATATTTTGACGTTAAAATGAGTCTAACTCTGCGTAAATGAGGCTGTAATCAACGCACACAGCGGTATTTTACGGATTTGAAAAAGATCTATTTTGGACAGCAATGCGCAAAGACAGGAGAATTCGATCCCACACAAGCTGATACTGAGTCCTGGATCGCCATGGATGTATCTTATTGCCACCCATCGCTACAGCGTTTCATTTTCGCTTTAAGTATTTGACTGATATGGCACTGTTTAATTGTTTCCAATGTCGATATGAGTTTTGAGTAGGCGACAATGATTCGCGTTGGATGTGAAATCTCGATACCAATCTATTTTCGGGTCAAAAGCTACCATCTTCTAATCCATTAAATTAGATCTGTAAAACGTTGTGCTCGTAAATTCAAAGCATTTCAATAGAAAACCTCGATTAAAAATAAATAAATAAAAGTTGCTATAGTGACGACGATCACGTGACGTTTAATTTCTTGAAAGTTGATGACAGCCAATCAGAGAGTGTTGCCGGGTTTATTGCAGAAAGATCCCATGCAGCACTAAAACAAGATGTTCTCGAGTGTATAAGCCGACGATAATCTGCTTAAATCTATTAAAATGATCAAGACTTTAGTCGCAATAGAAGATTAGAAAAAAACAGAGCTTAAAAAAATTAACTCAGTGAAATAAAACAGAGAGGGAAAGATGAGAAAACTAGCTAAAAACTAGTGTGAGCTGCGTCGGTGTTTCTAATGAAACAGTAATAATAAAAGGGTAAATTATACACCGTGAAAAGATGAAAAAACTTACTGACGTTTCGGACGCTAGTCCTTCGCTCGTCCTACCTCTTTTACTCCGACTAAGGATTAGCGTCCGAAACGTCAGTAAGTTTTTCCATCTTTTCAAGGTGTAGAATTTACCCTTTTATCATTAGAGAAAGAAAGACATGGACGACTAGCGACACTCAAGAATTATAAGGTTTGAATGTTTTGAGGAAAACGAATAAACAAACAACCATTTTAAGATGTTCTAGTAACACGAATAGCTTTACTTTGGTTCTAAAACTCTTTTACATAGACATTTCATACATAATATCGTCTCACTTAGTTTGTGTGTAATTTGTGTGGCATCGAACATATTTTAACGTTATGTAATAACTTGACTAAGATGAATCCGTTAACAAGTAAAAGCCCTTCATTTTTGGAGCTAAAAAACACAAATAAGAGGAGGAAATCTCCGGTTAATGAACATGTTTTGACTAGAATTTTCCATATAATTGAATGTTTGAAGGAAGGTAATGATGCTTTCGACAAAGCGTCACCAGGGCGGACTTCAATAACCTTTTATTTTATATCTTATGCAAAACAAAACAAAACAAGAACACAAACTTAAAATTGGTGGAGGTAATTGCCAGTTAAGTGCAAGAAAAAATTCAAAAAAGGCAAGACATTTATGTGGAATTTTTACGTTTTTTTCTTTTTACACGCTGAAAATATTGTTGCTGAAACTTGCCTTGTTGCACAAATTTCACTTTGCACAATTAGAAATAAAACAACTTTTCTTTATCGTAGCATTTGTTTGCCAAGAAAGTCAGTTCCCCAAAGCTAAACTATTCCATGGTGAAACTCTTGGTCGACATCGACAACCGATTTATCATGCGATTTTTAAAAAAAGAGTTCGCTCTCACCTTCCGGCCTTTGTAATGATCATCTCCGTGCCAAGATCATAGAACCTTTGCCACAAATCCCTCATTTGTAACTCTACGCGAATACCTTTAGCTTCATCAACTATTGGTATGGATGGAACACGGCTCTGCATGGCTTGAAGGCTTCCTAGTGAATGACTCGTTAAGTCTTCTTCGTTACCTAAGATTGAAAATACAATGCTATTATACATAATTGCAGAAAAACCTGTTGTAAAATACTACACAATAAAATGGTTTGAACGCTTCCTAGTGAATGACTCGTTAAGTCTTCTTCATTACCTACGATTGAAAATACAATGCTATTGTACATAATTGCAGAAAAACCTGTTGTAAAATAATACACAATAAAATGGTTTGAACGCTTCCTAGTGAATGACTCGTTAAATCTTCTTCGTTACCTACGATTGAAAATACGATGCTATTGTACATAATTGCAGAAAAACCTGTTGTAAAATACTATACAATCAAATTTGTCTCATTCTTTAGTGATAGCTATACGCGATCGTCGTTCCACGCCTAATGAACCAATTCCATGAGCATTTTCTTAATTGAGAAAATTTACTTTTTACAAAATATTGTGAAAAAGAACAGCGATCCTTCACGTTGCTATCGAGATAAGATCATATTCTTGAGAAAATTGTATTTTGTAGCCTTAAATTTAAACATTCCATGGAGGAAGTTTAGCAACTTATCCCATGGAATTGCATTTTTGTTAACTAACTTTTTGATCCATAAATAAAGTTTGAGTCGTAAGTCATATCACTGCTAAAAGACCACGAGTTTTTGAGTTTTTAGCTCTAAATTGGCGTTAAATTCACCTTGCTTGAGGTATAAAATACTTGGAACTGAATGTTTTATTTGTAGTTTGGTAAGAGTTTTGCTATCTGGTCATTTGTAAAGTGGAGTTTTTTTCTTAAATCTTCATTAACTTTGTAATCGTCTATTAACTTAGGATATTAGAATAACTTAGAATCGCCTAAAGAAAGAGGAGGAGGAGAGAAGGAAAGAGAAGGGAAGGGAAGAGAAGAGAAGGGAAGAGAAGAGAAGAGAAGGCAAAAGAAGAGAACAAAAGAGAAAGTGAATAAAATAAGCGCTTTATGAGTGTCTATTAAAGTAAGGGTAGCCTGAAGAGAAGAGAAGAGAAGAGAAGAGAAGAGAAGAGAAGAGAAGAGAAGAGAAGGAAAAGTAAGCAGAACGAAAAATAAGGCATGGGGTTCAAACNCTGATTCGAGAACAGAACAGAACAGAACAGAACAGAACAGAACAGAACAGAACAGAACAGAAGAGAAGAGCAAACTTTACTTTGAACCGGATTCATCATATTAAACCAGTTACGATTACATCAAAAGAAAAGTAATATTATCAAACATTTTTGATTCCAATCTCCAACACCACCAGTGCATTTGTCGCCAAATCAAAACTACCATCAATACCTTCAGAAAAACCAATTTCAATATAATGACATCCTTTTATCAGAATCCAACGGTATGAAAACATGTCATCTCTTGCGTGTATCGGGTTTTTGAACCTATTACCAACCAGCTATAGATCTGGTTATTGTTAAAAGGCGCCACAATACCGGTGACATGCGAATAGCAGTAGAAAAGATATTTCCTTGAACAAATAATATATCCCCATAATTAACTCCTTTGGGATAAACATTCTGTTGATGATCTTGGAAGTTGAAAGCGTTAGTTTAATTTGAGTTGAAGTTTGCATCAGATATTTTTTGTCTTCCTGAGAATATCCACATATAAACTAAATCTAGGATTAACCCAAACCGTCTCAGTTCTGGCATTGCGGAGAAGATTAGACACGGTATTAGAAGACAACGAATACATTGTCAATACTGATAAACTTCAAATTGTAATTAGTAAACTATATACTTGCATAATCCGGTGTCGTGATATGAAACAGAGGCAAGAAATGTCCAAGAATTTTGAAACAATTCTCACCCTTTTATCTTGTTTAATTGAAAGTGCTTTCAATGGCGTATTATTTAGTTATATATCCGCCATTTGTGGCAAGTGGTTCAATAAGGACGCTACAGTTTATACGCTGAGCAGACCTCGAAAGCGTCAGGAAGAAATTGAATTCCTTCACTTATAAAAGAACGCTTTTAGGGCATTTATATTTGCGAAAGTCGGGATCTTTGCCTGCCAAAAGCCAGCGAAGAGTTTCGGTCACGGCTAGTTTGCCATTATGTTTATCAAAAGCATTAAGTACCTTTTGCTAAGCTTTTCGATGTTCTCTCAGAAACTGTGCCACTCGTTTGGCCGTTTGCAATCAGTGACTTCACTGAAAAGGCATTTGCTCTTGAAGACAAGCTTCCAGTCGGTTGAAGCGCCTGCATTTTGGATCGTTGGCGATAGGTCTTACTGACGCGGCTAGTGCTTATGTCAACGTGTGGCATTTGGTCGGCGAGAGTGGAGACACTGAACTGTTCTAACAGATGAGACGATTGATTTTTATATTACCCAGCTTCTGTGGCGATCGCAGTGATTATATCAATTAGTTGTGTTAATTAGATTAGCCGTGTCTACAACTCGTCACCTCACTGCGGAAGTCTATGGCACTTTTCATTTTGGCACTAGAGATCGATTTGTTACGCGCAGTAAAACAAGCAATCTCAAAGACATACCGACTGGTTCACTAGTACTCGTGCCATCAGCGGGATCCTCTTGTTGTGATTTGTGATAATAATCTTCTGAGAAAAGCAATGAAATGTCGGGGTGGAGTAAGACAAGCCTCATCTCAGAACGATCTGATAAAACACTACTGACTGAACATCTGTGGCTACAAATTGCTGTGATAGTTTCTAACAGGAACAATTTCTGACCGAAAGAGCCATGCCCTAAATTAAATCAGAGGTTGTTAAAAGGTTGAATAAGATTTATTCCAAATTGTTGGACATTGTTGGAAATATAAGTACAATTTAAAGGAAAGCCGGTAAAGAAAGAAAACGGGACTCAACTATTAGTCTGATTTTAGCTTCTCTAGAGTGCGCCTTTCCCAAAGATAGTGACATCGGCGAACCATTGTAATAGCCTGGAGATTTAATTCTACGCGCAGAGCGATTTAAAACTATGTAAAAGTTAACTGACTTTACCAGAGTTGATGTAGGGTTGCACGCAGGCCACATTTTTTGGGGATATTCCATGTGATAGCATTTTTATGTTCTGATATAGTGAATTCGTTCAAAGGGACACCAATAGCAAGCACCCCCCTGATTTCCGTGATACATTTAAGAGTTCAATTTGGAATACCATTTCCAGTGTCAATAACCGGACACAATCGAGTCATCAACGAGTTTTCCTTCTTACGAACTACTTGTCTAAGAAGCCGACAAAATCAAACTTTTACCCCATTAAACATCATTAAGTGTAAAAATAAAAACAATAGTGCACGCTAGGCGAACTTAGGAACTGTTTTCTAGTTTAAGAGTGAGTTCTTATCATTCTGAGGCATCTCAGTGGAACGAACGTGTTGTTATAGATCGCACAACGTTAGTGACGAAAGTTATTGTAGGTCGAATCCGCGACCTCAAATCTTAGTCTTCGTCACTCGCTCAGCTGGTTCTGCCTGTGTGTGGTAGTGAAACTAAAACCTGTATTTTAATTGTTTCTTGTGCATACAATTTAATGTGTTTACGGCTGAAGGTTTGAGCCAGTTTGTTTGTCAATTGTCGGCTGTTATCGCTATCTAGTTTGTACAATCCTTGCATTGAATATTTCCTCATTTTTCGGTGTCCGTTTGGGCGATTGAATTTCATTCAATATGACAATTCTGAGCTTTATGTACAAATTTGTACTTGAAGTCGGTACAAGAATGTACGAATTCCATCGAGTTTGGTGCGTTGTTGTTCGTGCCATTATTTCAACACGAGTACCATTTTTCTTTTAAGTTCAACAACCACATCTTTGAAACAAAACGTTATGTATTAGAAGCTGTTGATGTTTAACACGCGCGGTTTTGAGGGCGACACATTTTTTGTGCTTTATCGGTACAACCTTGTCCTTTCACGATGAATATTCAGTGCAATCTATCAGTTGATAATGGAACCTCTTTTCCTTCTCGCGGGACAAAACGATGAATTTTAGAAAGAGGTTGCTCTGAGCTTACATCAAGATTGAGCCGTAACCTTGCATTCCTAATTGTCACACTCAGTTAAAAATCTTTAAATTGTCCAAACGTTTTGAGTTGTATTCGGGAATTATTTGGATATTAAAGAGGACAGAAAGAGGAGGTGATTTTAGGAGTTTAGGCGCCTGCAATGGCTATTACTACGATGAAGAATAGCGCGCTCTTTGGCGGTCACTTTATTGTGTTTATAACGAGTATTCTTGTCCTCACGCCGTCCTTACTAATGACTTATCAGAATGTTCTCACTTAACATCGCGATATCAAGTGTGCTGACAAAGTCTATCACTACTCGTTCTCGAGTTACGAGGATACGGGGTCATTCATCACTTTTGGGCCGAAACATGTCATCGGGTCATCACTGAAAAAACTGCGAAGTGAATTGTGTTTGCACATGCTGAGGTCATTAGAGGAGTTAAAAAGAGGATAGGTGTGTTGTTAATGCGATATCCATGTGTCATTGTAGATTATATGTTGGTATAGGAAAATTTGGCTTTAGTTACACCAGAAATAAAAGGACAATTCTCAACTTCCGTGGGAATAAAGACAAAAATATTACCAAATTTTCTGTTCACATTTTCTTTCCACGAAGAAGGCATTTCCTTCTGACAATACGTATTTCCTTGAACATCATAAGGTGGTACAACATAAAGAAGTAGATATATTACAGGATTCCCCATCTTGGAAATACATGATACTCATTGGTTTTAGTTGTTCGTGGCAAGAGCAACTAGATTTTTTTCAGGGAGTTTGTTCAGAAAATGATGGGTTGGCAAAAGCAAAAGCACGTCACACGAAGTAACAATTGTGGAACCAACTTAAAGATTAGCCATTCTATATTTACATTGTTCTTTTAAATAAAACACAACAATCTTTAACAAAGTTCCTCTATGACTAAAAATGTGCTAAAAATAAAAAGAAGATCCATGGATACTGAATTTAATGGGTGTTTATCTCGTAGGACTTTCTATTTTCGTCGAGCATGTAAGGAAGTCTGAGGCTGAGCTGAGATCATGGCACTAAACCGCAAGTGATCATAGACAGGAACATTGTGTCCGGAGATGAGCACTTCATGCCCGGTAATTATCCCAAGATATATTATCAGTATTATCTAAACAATGAATGTATTTACTTCCCTTTACCGCCCCAATAATTCAATATATGATATATGTATGTATGTATATAACGTGTGCTCTGATTGGCTCGCTTGCTGCGCTACTGCCGGGTGTCATTGGCGTACTCCCGACCTATTTACCTGCGTCCATGATTCCATTACCCGGCAAATACGACCGGCAAATACCCCTATAGTCAAGTTATAAGCCATGTTTTAAGTGGTGCTACACTAGGTAATGTACCATGCAAGTTCTATTGAATCGAAATTCTGTTACAAAAAAAACGTTGCACGAAAATTTTCCCTACCAATAATATGAGTCTCGACTCTTGGTTCAACGTTCGAACCATATCGTCCCAAGAAGAAAGTTAATTAGAATCGAGTTTTGGACTTCGCAGGCAACAATTTCAAGACATCGTTTATTGAAACAATGAGTGATTTTGAAACCGAATAATAATTGCGCACTATTGACTTTTTTCCTCAAAATTCTTTTTTTCGTGTCGCATGTATGAGATAAGTCCGCGTTGATTCTGCCTAGTACTTGTACCATCACCGTTCGGAGCAAGTGCAGCACTTTTTCTCATCGCGCAACAAAAAGCCGAGATGACGAATGTGATATACCATTTGTAAATGAATACTTAGTATCATTCTAACAATAAGGAAGCGAAAAACTCAATCAAGGCTGGGTTGACTCTGCAGTCGAAGCGCTCGCCTTTCGCCCCTTACTGATTCCCCACCAACTCGGCGTCGTAAGGAAGTAGGGTTTCTTGTTAGTTTTCTCTTGTGCTTCGAGAATATAGGCCAAGGTTTTTTGCCTCCTTTTCCCCCCCCCCCCCCCTCGTACAAAATCAGTATTTCTAAATACCAATTCGATCATGGAAAGAAGGGCACATGTTTGTTATAGCTGCGACATGCTGTCTTACGAATCACCCTTGTCATATTAAGTTCAGATTTATTATGTTAATAATAAGACCAAGAGTGAAATGACAAATGGTTTCGAATGGCAACAGAATGCCTAAAACGTTTGACAAGCTTTCTGAAAAAAGACTAAAATGTTAAGATCATAATCAACCTTTCTCTTGCGCGGCTGACTAAAGCTGTAAAATTTGGGAATCGAGCAGAAGGAGCGTGCAACAAGGCTCATTCGTCAGTGAGGCTTTTTTATCTGTATTATGCAAACAATATATATGGTAAATCATTTCAAACCTTAGTGCATCAAAACCTGTCGTGAAAGTTAAGTATACCTTAGTCGTAAGACACTGGCGTGGATCAAAAGATGATCGATCTTCGTGAGGTTCTTTGCGCGGGATTCCTGTGTAAGCCAACTGGCAAAACCACTGCTCTTGTAGCTAGTTTTGGCTGTCGTTCGTTGGATGAGCTTTAACAGAAACGATAGGATCGAAAATGGCTGCTACAGCTCACACTGATGGCCTGCCGATCACGAAGGATACCTTAAAAAAAGGGCTATTATAATTGCCTCCAATGATGCGAACACATTGCAATTTTTACATCTGTTGTCTAAGAATTCCCCCACTAACTCCGTCATTACCAATGATAGAATAAACAGCCCACTGCTGGAATGATCCATCCAGCTTACCGCGATCTACCTGGGTTATCAACTATTCCAATTTAGCTGAATGACTAGAGCGGTGTATGGATGATCAAAGAAAGACACCTTGATCGTGGATTACGGGATTACAAATCATGAAACGTAATGACTGACAAACATGTGAATATTCTAATGTATTTGGAGGTAAAAAGAGTGACGCACTTGGCTCAACTATTCCAAGGTCGTTTAGCTTTGTACGCTCAGTAACGCTTTAGCTAATGATGAGGTTTATCACTGATGAGCGTTTAAGCCAAGAATTTGATTAGTTATCGTGTCGGTAATGATGATTTAGATATTTGAAAGTTGTGCGCAATAAAATAATTAAGTGGAATATGAATACCATGTAGTCTACAGAAAAACACCGTATGGAAGGGAATTGGGAACCCCAATTTATTGAACCCTGAGACAATGTCTGGAGTGAAATGGGAAGCACGTGAGTAGATTCAGCGCGCACGGATCAAAAAAGGACACACATTTGTGAATTTCTGGGCAACAAGCATGTTTTGTTGCGGGGTTCCTGTGGAAGGCGAGACAATAACCCATCTTTTGTTGGTCCCAAAAGAACATGATGCATTCAAATTTGAGATAAAGCGTAAATGAAGAACTTGTAAAGAATTATTTTTATCATTATTATTTTAGGACCATACCTCCAGACCTAAAGCTGAATGGTCGTATGGCAGCGCAAAGCATTTACGGCTACGCCGGAGATTTCGGCCCCGACACCGCTATCCAGTGACTGATCGGCCCCTAGTCCGTAAATGATTAACTCCTTGCTATGACCAGCGAATTACATAATTTCGTTTTATAGACCAGTATCTTATGGTTGTGTTCATCCATGTGGGAGGCATTTTGAATTATTTTTGTTATTGGATGATGTTGGACATGCGCATATCAGCTTTAACTTTCCTCACTTTTCATGTGGATAAGATTTTATCCCTTTACCTGAAATTCGTATCTGACTCTTTTATTCAATTGAGCGTGCGCATCTCCATTGACGAGTTTGCACAATAAATATTTACGCAAATGGCATGCAATAATAAATCCAGAGAACACCAGCAAGAGAACCTGGAGAAACGGCTACAGGAAAAACATGAAACCATAGCGATAAAAACACAAAAACCTAAGTCTAAACTGTTGAAAGTAACTAAAATCACTTGGGCTGTATGTACGTGGTTATGTGACATAAAATTTGTATGCTGACGTACTTCCGGTATGAAAGCGGAAATGAATTCGGTTCCTATTTGCTTAACATAAATATTCATAAAACAAAAACAAAAGCCTTAAAATAATCAAAAATACAATATCTCTGTTGTAATAAAAATCTATGTCACATTTTAATGCATAATACGCTGAAATTGATCTTACAAAAAAAAATTTGACTGAAAAAAGAGGACTGATAATGATTCGATCGAATACTTCTAAGCAATTTTCTCCTTGAATAGTACAAAACTCTATGTATTTAAACATTTTAATTTCCATTGATATTTCTCTTTGAATGTTTGCAGTTCTCTACAAACACTGTAATATATACGTATTCCGGATATTGAAAGTTCTGCAAGACAATACCATAAACCCGCACGCACATCACGGACATCTAAAGTCTTATGATACGAGATAGTTTCATCCCAATCAGATTGAGACCTTCATGACGTTGATAACTGTGCCTTACTCACACACACACACTCATATATATAAGCATCTTGAGGTATTCCAAAATCACATAAGCATTGCGCTTCAGTATAGCTTTTTCTCTTCTGCACTTTGATTGGCACTTTCAAGAGAATATACATTGAGGAACAATGTACTCGTGACGTCACAAATGTCACGCCTGATTGATAACATCCCTAGTATTACAATCACAAATAGTCTCCGGCATTCTACGGGCCCTATTAGAGATTAAAAGTTTAATGCGAAGAAGGGGTTCAGAAGCGAGAATAGTAACGCCAAAACGCTGTATATGACACACAAAACGTCATCCCAGTACTTTTGATTGATTGACAATCTACTATGAAGTTTACAGACCTGAACAGTGAACCTGAAGCCATGCCAATGCTTCCTACAGGGAAAATAATCACATCAGCCGGTTCTACAACTTTCTTAATGCACAAAGCTGCAAAAGAAGGATGTTTAGATGTTTTACAACGATGTATCGATGAAAACAAGATGGCTGCTTGTATGATGGATGATAAAGATTTTTCTCCTCTTCACTACGCTGCCCAATACAACCAAACGAGCGTTCTAACCGCTTTAATAAAAGCTGGTGTTGATGTGAATATCAGAGGAGACGGGGACATAACTGCGCTACACATCGCTGCAAGGTAAAAAAATATTAAAGTTGATCGTTTTTAAAGCGAAAAGTCGAGGATTCAAGCACGTGAAAATCCGTACGTGTTTAGGTGGTCACGTATAAAATATTCATCAACCGTGGATTGTTTGTTCAAACTGTTGTCGTTACAATAGCTCAAGATGTGCCTCTTGTCAACGCGGCACGAAATCGCAAAACAACTCCACTATCATGTCAAATATAAAACTTAGGAATAGAAATTCGGATGAAAAGACTTCGAAGACGCTAAAATCGATTCGATAACATTTCAAATGAACTGAGAAAACATTTGAATACCAAAATAACGATACGTAATAGAAAGACGTTTTTCAAGACGTCTTCGAATGATTTTATTTTTGTGCATTTATTTTCAAACTGAATTTTGGTAAAAATACGAATTCAAAAATTCAAAAAATGTATTTAAGCTTCAGTAATTTTTAAACGCAATGAAATTAGTCCTTTTTTGAATAATAAATAGGAGCATCTAGGCGTAGATAGTAGTAAGTATAATTTATCATTATAGTGGGGTTTTTTCGTAATCAATTACGTATACTATTAAAATTAACATCTACTAAGATCAATAAATATGTATCATTATCATGATTTTTTGGCCTTTTTTGTGGATGAAATACGAATTCAGTCAGTTCACCTTTCATTGTGTCGATAATAAGTTATAAATTGAATAGATTTTATTTATGCGCAGGTGCTATGACCAATACATAATCCTTGACAGTTACACTGATGCGGTTCGGTGATCAGGTGTAAAGCCACAGAAAACCCACGCTTACCTAGGAGAATTACTTGTCTGTTTGTCTTTCTGTCTTTCTGTCTGTCTGTCTGTCTGTTTGTCTTTCTGTCTGTCAGTCTGTCTGTTTGTCTTTCTGTCTGTCTGTCCGTCTGTCTGTCTGCTTGTCTGATCATCTTTTACGTTTCTCAGGTATGATTCCTTAGAAGCGACCGAGTTTCTCCTTTCCAACGGCGCCAACACCTCGATAAGATGTGCCGTCACCGGCTCCACGCCTCTACTTGTTGCAGTCAGAATGGAAAACCCACGAATCGTTACAAGTCTTCTATCAAAAAATCGCGGTCTCGTTGACGACCACGACCTTCAAGGAATGACAGCCTTACATTTGGCTTGTATGAGAGGGTCGATTGAGATCTGCAAGATTCTTTTTCAGTATGGTGCGCATACTAGCTTATCTAAGCGCAACGAAGATGGTAGTACGCCTATCGTGTTTGCTGCAGGGAGTAATGACGAGGGGATCCTATCTTTATTAATAGATGAAGGTAGGTTATGGTAATAAAATGTCTGCGTGAAACACTAAGGTAATGAACCCTAAATACGGAAATAGGACAGCCTAACGAAGCGAAGACCGACCGACTGAACCTATACAACCAAACAAACGACCAACCGACTGAATATACCAATCAACCAAGTAAACGAAACTTGTAGCTCTAAAGCGTAATGTAAACGGCCCAGCAACTGCGACAGAACGATAAATGATATCAACAGTTCATTAACAAACTAATGACCGGCAAACCGACCGAATATACCGGTCAACCAAGTAAACGAAACTTGTAGATCTAAAGCGTAATGTAAACGGACCAGCAACTGCGACAGAACGATAAATGGTATCAACTGTTCATTAATAATAATAAATAATAATAATAATAAATATTTATATAGCGCCTATCCAAATCTGCTCTAGGCGCTTTAAACAAAAAGAAAAACCACCAACTGTGGTAGGCTGTGAACTTTGCTTGGCGCCTGTGGCTGCCGCTACACAATCCAAACTAATGACCGGCAAATCGACCGAATGACCGATCGGCCATATAAACGAAACTCGCCAATCTTACCAAACAGGTGAAAAAACGAGTCTCTTGCATATAAATTAATGCGTTCTTTTACTGATTTTTCATTTAGCTAAAAAGCACAATGCAAATATGAAAGAACTAATCAACGGTAGCGAAGAAGACTCCACTACCCCCTTGCTAGCTGCAATAAATGCTGGGAACGAAAAGAATGTTCGTCTGTTGACAGAGAACGCAGCGTCCGTGAACACTCCAGGGAGAAAGCAGTGCACTCCTTTGCATGTGGCAGCCATGAATGGAAATGTCGACATTGTTAAAATCCTACTCCAGAAAGGAGCGAACGTTGACGCCCAAGATGCACAGGGGAAGGCGCCACTTCACAGGTACGATTGCCTGTCTGGGTCGTATACTCTTCACGATTGGTGATTGATTGACGCTGTCTCTCACCTTTGTGTAGTTCGTGCAGGGGGCCGCGCGTTCGATTCTCGTTCGAACTGCATATGTGAGTCGACTTTGTTTCGATTAACTCTAGATATAATGGAAATAAGCGAAATCTAAAGATTTTGTTGCAGCAAAAAGTTGCAGTGATACAGTGATACAGGCGTCTAATTTTTTTTTGCGTTGTCGTAGAGAAAAGCTCAAACATTTGAAATAGTTGTGCAGCATTTTCTCTCTCTCGCAGTGTTGCCGCTATTCATTTGCGACCCAACATGTACGCTGCATAGTTTTCTCTCGAGATGGCAATGCAAGGTGCAACTAAAAGAACTACACTTGAGATGACAAAAAGATTAATAGCGTATATCGACATAAAGTCTCTGATATCTCATACCTCGTATATTTTCCAGAGCCGCATCTCTTGGTTGGTTAGAAGTCATAAGGGTACTTACACACAACAAAGCCACACTCGAGCTCAAAGATGAAGATGGCATGACCCCATTACTTTGCGCTATCTTGTCTGGACAGGTTTTTGCTGTTAAACTGCTGGTTTCATTAGGAGCAGATGTAATGGCTCGCGATAATGACCGCCGAACGAGTCTTCATATTGCTACCATCAATGAGCATTTCTTAATCATGCATGTTTTGCTGAAAGGAGAGAAGGATCTTCAGAACATACCTGACCAGTTGGAAAGAATTCCGCTGCATTATGCTGCGAGCGGCGAGGACACTAGGGTAAGCTATACTAATACTAAATAATGCATTTATATCATGCATGTATTGCGCAAGACCCTTTTGAGGTGCGCTAACATGGTTTGCCAAAGGTTTAAACTTGAACCTTTTTGTCAATAGATCCCGACCACACTCATCGAACATGGAAGTAACTGTCACTTTAAGGACAGAGGCCAAGCCACTCCTCTTCACGTCGCCGCAGAAAAAGGGACCCTAGAACATGTTGAGCTGATTCTCAAAGCAGCACCTTGTTCTATCCATGAAAGAGATCTTCATGGGAATACCGCTCTACATCTTGCAGCACTGAACAGGAAAAGGTAAATCTACTTTAATTGATCTTAGTTTTGTATTTTAACACAATAAGTCAACAAAACTTCTGCCTTCTTTGGCCATGCAAAATGGGAATTTGGTTTCCCTGTGAATGTATATTGGTATCGTAAGATGTGGATAAATTTGTGAAACCTTTGAAATACTTACGTTCTTTCATCAAATCTTTCTCTAAGGGAAACATGTAAGATCTTATTGAGGTACGGCGCAGATGTCGATTCCCTCGATTTCCAACTTCAGACTCCACTGTTTCGTGCTTCACAGTCCGGAAGCCTTCCTATCATTGAACTGCTACTGGAGCATCACGCCAACCCTAATCACAAAGACATTGTTGGTAATACGGCGTTACACATTGCTGCTGAGTACGGTAACCCAACCATCGCCAAGGCCTTCCTTGATAAAGGTTGGTTCACATAAACTTTTGAAATAAAATCAGACATTTCTTTTAAGGCCGATTTACACGGTACGATTTCCTTACAGCTCTCGTGCGGGCAACGTGCTTACGCAAAGGTTTAGCTGCCATTTCAGTCGTAAGCGAGTTGTACGGTCAATTTAGACAAATCATTTCGTGTCTTCAGCATGTTGCACGCGACAATTGTGAGAAATAGGACCGTTTAAATCGGCCTTTACAGAGCAGATTTTCGCTTCCTTCCCTTTGTTTCCATTTCATGTCGACCGTGCCACGACACAACACGATAAAACGCTTCATGAAAGATCACCTTAGCACGACTTGACCAAAAAAGACGTCATGCGATAAGGCAGAACGCAAGGCGAATTAAAAGGAACTATTGATAGGACATGGAAAAATGCGACACGAAAAGACATCAAACTAATTTTAAAAACAACTTTGAACAATGCGAAGCGACATGGAGAACAAGACACGGGACGACACGACAATGTGTGATACACTGGGGAAACCCGAGACGTTTAACTTCTCCTGACAAATACTTTATTTCTATTTATTTTAATAAACAATAATTCTAATTTTTTTTTCTTTCTTTCAGGTGTTGAGTGCTCACTGAATAATCAAGGTTCCAGTTGTCTCGATACTGCAATTGCATCAAGAGCTAGTGAGGTCATTAACACTATAGTGAAGCATCAGCGGTAAGAATGATTTTACCTGCCATAAATCTATGGATTACATGTTTTCCCATTTCGGATCAGACTATTTGTCACTCCCCTAATAGCCGTTCCATAAATTCAAAGTATGTCACTCAAAAAGTGGTATTTGATCTTATATTTAACAACTTATAGACCCGCAGCCCGAATGGTCTACAAGTCAATAGCCCATGAGGCCAAAGGCGAGGACGAGACGACTAATCGTTTTAGTATAAACCTACTATTGGGTCAAATACCTGGATTTGAACAGTTGATATTTAGTTGAAATTAAATATTTTATTGCGTTGTTTTGGTTTTCAAAACCGGCACTTTTCGCTACCATTGCATTGGTATATCACTAATACACCACTAGTAGCTCAGCCTATCACAGCGCAGGATTTGTGATAGACCATTGGTAGGCTTATACAAATCTCTATTATTCACAGGTGGGAAGAGTTAATACATGTGGACCGTGGTGGCTGTGCTATCATGGCAAAACTCATTAGTGATTTCCCCGAAGGTGCTTCATTGGTCATGGACAAATGCATCCGGCGATCAAACCACAAACCATCTGATCCTGATTTCTCAATCACTTTTGACTTTCAACTTCTGGACCCCGGCCCGGATAGACAGATTAATCCTGACGTGCCAACTGACAAGGCTTTCCCCCAAGTGCTTGTAAGGAAAGAGTCGGATGGAAAGCGCTTTTTTGGGTTACTAGAGATGGTAAATCACAAGCGACAAGAACTTCTGGTGCATCCTCTGGCTTCTCGTCTGCGGCGAGTAAAATGGAAGAGTTTTGGTGCTCTAGTCTATTGCTTTAACTTCATAATGTACGCTCTATTTGCCATGCTTTTGACCTTGTTTATGTTGAACGTAAGAGGCGGTCTTCAACTGGCACGCGGACGTAAAAATTTGGAAGGTGGTTGCTCGGCAGTAACAACGAACCAGCAAATAGTCGCCAGCTTTGCCTTCGTAATAAGTGTACTCCATTTCTGCAAAGAGATATTCCAAATGTACATCCAAAGGCTTCGTTATTTCACGGATGGTCAGAACTTGTTTGAAATCTGCATGTATGTATTCGGCCTTGTTTTCCTGGTGCCTTACACCTTTCCCGGGTCCACTGGACTGTGCACAGGTCGACAAGGAGTGATCTGGAGGTTTGGAACAGTGACTATATTTATGGCATACTTCAACTTGATTCTCCTCACACGTAACTTGTCATTTATCGGGCTATATGTCACCATGTTTATTGAGGTGTTCAAGACCCTAATGAAGGTCATGGTCATGGGCATGCTATTTCTTCTTGCTTTTGCCTTGGTTTTCTACATCCTGTTCAAAGAGCAAGTAAGTATCCTAACATATCTCATATATTGTGCATCATTTATCGGAAATATGTATCGGACATTGTGGCTATTCCATGTGGGATGGTTTTTGTCAATGCATCGTGTATGGAGAACACTTATAATTTTGAAAGGCGCTCTGACTACGCAAGCGAAAATAGTAGAGGTGCGCGCACTGCTCACCATAATTATATTCAAAAAGTTATTTTCTTTTTAGGATGCCTTTGATGGATTTGGGGAAGCTTTGGTGAAGGTGATGGCCATGACGATAGGAGAATTAGATTACAATACATTGTTGGTTGATGCTGAGAATCAGAACAATACGGTTACTGGTGCTCCACTTGTTCCATATCCCGAGCTCTCCTATATCTTCGTATTCTTCTTCATAATGACAATGCCGATAGTTCTTATGAACTTACTGGTAAGTTAGATATTATATACCTCTGTAACTTGTTAGCTTATCTAGCGTCACGTTACTGTCTAGTTAGTATGTGCGCTATCTATCTGCCAAGGAGCAAGTGTGGCTTGGTTGGTTAGTGTGCTGCCTGCAAGCAAGAGGTCCATAGTTTGATCCTCAGTGACCTCACACACTTGTTTTAAGGAGTAAGTGTGGCTTGGTTGTTTAGTGAGCTGCCTGCTAAACAAGAGGTCCATAGTTTGATCCTCAGTGACCTCACACACTTGTTTTAAGGAGTAAGTGTGGCTTGATTGGTTAGTATGCTGCCTGATAAGCAAGAGGTCCATAGTTTGATCCTCAGTGACCTCACACACTTGTTTTAAGGAGCTACGATTCTTTCGTTAGTCTGTTGTCTTACTCAAGGTATATTTTGCTCTTATAGGTCGGCTTAGCTGTTGGTGATATCGAGGCGATTCAAAACAAGGCGTTTCTAACGCGCATTGGTCGACATGTCGAGTTCTTGACCGACATTGAAAAGCAATATCCAAAGATGCTTCTTCGTTGGCTTTATACACCAACACTTGTCATTTTTCCAAGAAGGACACATAAATCATTTTGGAAGTAAGTGACTTAAAAGTAGAGTAATGGCCGATATCGACAGCTACATTCAATAGCGTTCGTCTAAGTAAGGTAGCAAGCGAGCCACCCCCTCCCCCTATCGGTGCCCTGTTTTAAGACGATATTGAAAACAAAACCTCAAGGGAGTAACATCACTGAGGAACGGACCATCCTCTTACAGAGTTATTTTTACATCACTTCTCAATCACGCGCGAAGGCGTACAATTTTCTGTCGCGAGAAAAATAGAGTTTTGCTGGACGTCAGTCAAAGTGTTTCCATAATATAGTCGAAAAACACAAAGCTTTCAAGAGCACGTACCTATGGTATGTTATGGAAACGCCTTGATTGGCGTCCATCTAAACCTACTTTGTCGCCACTGCAAATTGTGCGATTTTCCTCGTGTGATTGAGAAGCGCTGTTAACTTGCAGTATAAAATCAAGTTTCGTTGATGGAGAAACATCTATCGTTACTTGCTTGCTTATTAGTGGCGCATCATGGATGTGCAAAGAAAGCTCCAAGAATCACCTCTAGAGGGGAGGGGTGGGTACACTATCCAAATACATCAATTGTTATTCCCTAGATTCCAAGAGCTTCCTTAAAAGGCACTCACGCGTTTTTTTCCCTTAAAGGCTGTATGTAGGTAAGTCCCTTGAGCGTTTTATTGAAGACGACGTTGACAAGCAATACGATACAGATCCAATCGAAGAAAAATTCAACGATCTGAAAGATGAAATGAGCTTGATGAGGGATCGCATGAAAATAATGATGCAGAGTATAGAACATCAAAATCAGATGTTAAGATCCACTGTAGTGACAAGCCGATCTAGTATTGCTGAAGATAAAGAAGCGACAACTTTCTGATCTAACATGTGTAACATAATGAAGTGTTTTTTCCCAACTTGTATGATCACTTGACACGTTGGCTGCGCAACAAAAAGTACGTTGCTACACAAAGTAGCCAATCAAAATCTAAGATTTTGGCATCTTAAATCGGGCAATTTGTGAAACTCTGACATGTCACAACTAGATATAACTAGCTAAAAACTAGTGTGAGCTGCGTCGGTGTTTCTAATGAAACAGTAATGATGAAAAGGTAAATTATACACCGTGAAAAGATGAA